CCTTGGCTTCCCAAAGTGCTGGGATTACAGGCATGACCCACCGCACCCGGCCTGATCTCATTTTCTATCTTTTGAATCTGTTCTTCCTCCCCATGCCAGTGCCTTGCCATCTCTCAGTTGAGAGGGTCTTTTAGATTTTTTCAAGCTGAACTTCCTTCTGTTTTTGCAGCCATAAATCCTTCCTCCACTTTGTTTCTAAGTGCAGATATGACCATGCCATGAGTCTTTATGTTTTGTCTTTATGGTTCCAGTAACACCACAGGATGAAGTCCAACATCCTTAGTATGATCTAAAATTCAGATGCAAAGACAAATAACTATAATAATGTTATTCATCCAGGCACGATGGCTCACTTTTGTAATGCCAGCACTTTGGGAGGCCATAAAGGGCAGACCATGAGGTCAGGAGTTCAAGACCAGCCTGACCAATATGGTGAAACCCCATCTCTAAAATACCAAAATACAAAAAATAGACGGGCATGGTGGTGCGCACCTGTAGTCCCAGCTACTCGGGAGGCTGAGGCAGACAAATAGCTTGAACATGGAAGGTGGTTGCAGTGAACCAAGATCATGCCACTGCACTCCAGCCTGGGCAACAGAGCAAGACTCCATCTTAAAAAAAAAAGTTATTCAACGTTTGTTACCAATCTGTAATGAAACAATTTTTGAAATTAAGTGTAAGCATTTAGAAAGTTCTATAGGAATTTGACAGAGAAATTTTATATTTATTGAATCTAACAAAATGGTAGTTTATTTTGTTTTTGAATAACTCACATTTAGTGCATTCTGTAAAAGTAGTGAACAATAGGCCGGCGCGGTGGCTCAAGCCTGTAATCCCAGCACTTTGGGAGGCCGAGGCGGGTGGATCACGAGGTCAAGAGATCGAGACCAGCCTGGTCAACATGGTGAAACCCCGTCACTACTAAAAATACAAAAAATTAGCTGGGCATGGTGGCACGTGCCTGTAATCCCAGCTACTCAGGAGGCTGACGCAGGAGAATTGCTTGAACCCAGGAGGCGGAGGTTGCGGTGAGCTGAGATTGCTCCATTGCACTCCAGCCTGGCTCCAGCCTGGGTAACGAGTGAAACTCCGCCTCAAAAAAAAAAAAAAAAAAAAAAAGTAGTGAACAATAATAGATGTTTTAAAAATTGTTCCTTAACCATACTTTGAGTAGCACTGGTCCATAATATTTGTAATGTAATGGCCTTGTACACCTCCCTAGGCTCATTTTTTTTTTTTTTTTTTTTTTTTTTTGAGACAGGGTTTCGCTCGTTACCCAGGCTGGAGTGCAATGGCGCGATCTCGGGTCTTTGGTTTAGACAGGCATCCAAAGGAGGTGATGATGCAGAACAGATCACTCACCCTTTTATAATTCTGTCATTGTTTGTACCCTATTATTGCACTATGTTGTAATTATTTGTTTATAGGTTTATTTCCCCTATTAGTCTGTGAGTTCCTTAAAGACAGTGGTTACGATTGTCTATTTTTCAGGAGAGAAACATTTCTTTTTATTTTTTTGAGACAGAGTCTCGCTCTGTTGCCAGGCTGGAGTGCAGTGGTGTGATCTCAGCTCACCGCAACCTCTGCCTCCAGAGTTCAAGCGATTCCCCTGCTTCAGCCTCTGAGTAGCTGAGACTACAGGCGTGCACCACCAGGCCCAACTAATTTTTTGTATTTTAGTAGAGACCGGGTTTGGAGTGAAACACTTGTTGTAAAATAACTAACCTGAAGGACGACATTCATTAGATGACAAATTCTGGCATGTTACTGAAAGAGGAAAAAAGGGATCAATACTTTATATTTACATTTTTCTATTACCGGCAAGGATTTCAGCCTACTACCTTTAGCATCTGAGTGTGAATTAATTTACTAGAATGGTGGACATTTTAGAAGGCCAAGGAGCCAGATTTATGGGACTCATGGGAAACTTTACAAGGGAAAGAGATACAGAAAAAAAACGTCTACACTTAAACAGTTTTGCCCAGGTTCAGCCCCTTTGGGAGTAAAATCTGAGTCACTTGCTGCCTTTTCAAAGTTGTGCAGCCCTGCGAATAGCATCAATTCATTCGTTTCAGACAGTCCACCAGATACCAGGTTTATCCTGGAGAGGTCCTGGGTTTCAGTTGAAACAAGCAACTATAATTGGAAATGTGTACAAAGAACAATGAGGAGGCCACCGAGGCAGGGGGAGAAATTAATTCTGCCTGGAGGCGTGGAAGGGGTCCAGGAAGGAGAGGTTTGAGCCAAACCTTGCTGAGTGAGTCGGATCTGGCCCAGTGGAAACGCTGGGGGAGGAGTGAGCAGAGCAATCTGCTAGATGAAAATCTACACGTGCGTAGGGACGACAGTCTCCGCACTCCTCTTCCACCCACTTTCCTCCCTTTCCTCGCAATCGTTTCCCCTTTTCTTGGAAAACTAGGACTGAGGATACAGTTTCCCTTCACGGAGGAGACCAGTATAGATAAAGGGAATATTAATCCTTTTTATCACGAGATCAGTTGCTCTGCTCTGTGCCTTTGAGAGCACTGGGGATGGGGGGAGCAGGTGAGTCAGGCAAAGAAGTGGTCTAGAGTGAGCCAAGGGGACACAGAGGAGAACAGGGCCCATGCAGGAAACAAATAAAAATTTTTGTATTTGTCCCCACTCCCTTTTTGTCACCACTCCCTCACCCCACACACACACACCTGTCTCTCTGTTTTTCCATAGTTTCCCGTGGTCTCTTTGTCTTTGCCTCTCTTTGCTAAAGGCTGGAAATTCCTTGTTCTCAACGGAAGGGAGTAGGAGGAGGGTTGGGGGTGGCAGGAGTGGGCGGGAAGAACAGACATCTCGGCAGCTCCGGCTGCGGGCTGCGGGGGCGCTCTGGGCCTCCGGCGGGCCCTGACAAGTCAACGATTTTTTTAAATAGGGGCTCAGATACAAACCTAGAGAGAGACAGGGACACAGATATACAACTGGATGTAAAGAAACATATAAATACATAATCTCGGGTAGAGAGACACAAATCGTCAGTAGCATTTTAAATGTGTTTAGCATTCTACAATTTAGAGTTTTCCTGTACATTCTCTCATCCGAATCTCACGACAATCTTGAGAAACAAGGACACAAAGACACTAACACCCAGTAGTTTCACTCTCACACCCCGGTTCGCACTCGGACCGCCGCTGGCTCCCCTAGGGGAGTGGGCAGGTCCCCTCTGCGGGATTTCTCTCCCTTTGTCCCTCTCTGGCCCAACACCCCACCCCCACTCCCGCCAGGACCCGGGAGTGGAGGGGTCAAAATCGGCTCCTCCCTCCTCCTCTTTCCTGGACCTGGACCCAGGCGCCGGGCGCCCAGTAGGCTGTCGCCCACATGATCACGCCCTACTCCGTCCCCTCCTTGGGCGGGCGTCTCCCTCCAGATCCCAAGGCTCAGCGCCGCCCCAAGGGGGCCGGGGTGGGAGGGAGGGGGGCGCCTGGAGCAGAGGCTGCGTGGGCGGAGGATGTGCGTCACGGGGAGCGTGGGCAGGGGGAGGGAGGGGGCACGTGGAAACCCGGGGCCAGCGGCTGGCAGCCCGGGATCCAAAATAACCTGAGGGGAGGTGGGGGAGGGGGCGCCCACACCCCGGACTGGGTTGGCTCCCAAGGGGAGCCCGTCTAGCCGCGCCCTCCGCTTGCGGGACAAGGGATTGGGAGACCGGAGTCTGCTCGTTCCCACCACCCTCACTGTGTTTGGCGCTTAATGGGCTGGAGAAGAGGACCTGAGCAAGTGAATAACGCGCTCCTTCTCCCTGGTCCCCACAAGGCGGAAAGGTCTCCTCACCAGGCCGGAATGTAGAACCAGCCCGGCCCACGGCCCCCACGCCTCGCCGGGTCCCCGCAGCTCAGAAGTGCGGACGGCGGGGCGGGGCTCAGGTTTCGGACTAGGGGGAACCTCGCCTGTGGCCAGTCCACTGGCTTCTGTCTCCCCCCTCCCCCCATTTCCCCGGGGGCCCTCAGAGCCCCCGCCTCCCCCCTACAGCCTTCCCAGCCGTGGGCGGGAGTGTAATGCGAACCAGATGGGGCTAGGAGAAACCAAAGGGGGAGACAGTGGTGGGTTGCAGAGGGGGGCTAAGCTCCTTGAAGGCGCTCCTCCCTCCAGCTCTGCCGAAGGAAGTCACGTCGGAGGCTATCTGACCTCTTACCCATCTTCCACTGAACTCTCGGGCGAGGTTCCCTAATAGACGGCCCCAGGAAAGGTATCGTCTTTGTCACAGCCTTGCCACATAAAATTCCCAAGCAGGGCCTCATTCTCAGCAAACAGAGGACAAGTGAAGGAAGGTGGGGTTCCACCCTCGAATCCCTGCCTGACCTACGCGCTGACAATACCCGACGCGTCTAATCAACTCGCGCACCTAAGTGGTGGCGTGCAGCATAACCCTCCCATCCCTGTTGCCTAAACTTTCCAGATTAGCATGGAGGCCTGGGTTTCTGGGAGCGAACCCCTCAGATTACTCCACTGGGAGCTGGGGAGGGGCGCGGGGATATCTAGGGGATCCCTGCAGAGCCCCACGCTCTCAGGCCCGCCTTAAGTGCACACTCTGTGGGAGTCAGATGCACGCACAGGAGGAGCCGCACACCACAGCCTTCGCCAACTTTTCCCGGCTCCTAGCATTCACACGTCCAGCACCGCAAGGCCCGAGTGTGAGCAGTGGGCGTCCGCGTAGTTGTTTAGGCGCGTGTGCACGTCCGTGCGCTTCTGTGTCTTTGTGTACTTGTGCGTGGTTGTGAAACTCCGCTCTCAGCTCGGAGGGGTGGGGGAAGAGTAGGAATGTCGCCGCCGGGGCGCTCACGTGGGTACGTGGGCTCAAGAGGGCCGGCTGCGCATCCGGCGTGGGCGGTACTGAGCGACCTCGCCCCGCCTGCTGGGTCCCCAAGCCCGTCCTCCACAGCCGGGCCTCGGTCACCTCGGTCCCTAACTCCGCGCCGGGTCTCTGAGTCCCCGCCCCCGCCTCCTGCTCCACACCCCCTCCCCCCAGTCTCCGCCTCTCCCAGTCTGTAAGCCGCGTTGTCTCGGCGGCCGAGAGGCCCCGGCGCCCGCCCCCCGGCCCCCGCCCCCGCCCCCGCCCCCGGCCCCGGCTCTGCCCACGCCCTCCGCCCGCCAGCCCCGCAGCCAGCGCAGAGCCGGGCCTCGCTCCCCGTGCGTCCTGCGGGGGCGGAGGCGCGGAGAGGCGGCAAGCGCAGCCGGGGAGGTGGGGGGGCAGAGGCACAGACAGAGGCTCGGAGGCTCGGAGAGAGAAGACGTGGAGGGAGGGACAGAGCCTGGACAGCGGTGGACACGGCATCTTGCGCGGGGAGGAGCGCAACGCGCAGCAGGCGCCGAGCGCCGGGCACCGAGAAGGGCAGCCCGGGTGGTCTCCGGCAGTCCATGCACAGAGCGCCTTCCCCCACAGCCGAGCAGCCGCCGGGCGGAGGGGACAGCGCCCGCCGGACCCTGCAGCCCAGACTCAAGTTAGTGGGCAAAGGGAGGCAGAGGGGAATGGAGATGGGTGGAGCTGGACTTGGGAATGGGGTCCAGAGGGCGGAGGTCGAGGGGAGGACGTGGGGAAGCGGGACGGGGGTGGGGGGTGGAGACTGATGGAAAAGGGGGTGCGTCTTCGAATTAGGGGCCCCTGGGAGCAAGCAAGCATCTGATGAAGCGGGATATGAAAGAGTAGTACCTAATTCTCCATTCCCGGTTTACTCTGTGGGCTGGTTATGGCATGAGTGCCCCCTGCAAAGAATGTGGGAGCCCCCAAGCTTCAGGGGATGCCCTGGAGCTTGAGCTGGCATCAGTGCAGAAGGTAGGGGGACGCTCAGCTGCCTCAGTCCGTCGCTGGCACGGCGCGCAGGCCCCCCAGGGTCCAGGAGAAGCCAGTGCCTTTGAGTTAAAGGAGCATCAAGCGGGAGGGGGGAAAGGGGGTTTCGCGGGAGGGCTTAAGCGTTCCTTCCTCTATCTGTCCGTTTATTCATCGAGTGGGGAGGGGAGTTTCAGTGTGCAGCCCCTTCATCAAGAGGCCTTGAGCCGCTCCCCCACTCCACTTGAAGATGCGGGTGGAAAATAAGGGAGAAGAGAGTAGGCGGGAGCCCCTGGGCGGTTTTCGCCCACAGACGCTACCACTGTGGGAGTGTGTGTGGGCGGAACGGCCCCGGAGCAGAACAATTGCGCCCCTCCCCTGCCGCGGCCCCTGAGCTGAAGGAACAGGCCCACTGAGAAAGTGGGGAGTGTCGGTCCTAGGAGAGGGGCCACTGAGGAGCACTGGGCAGCCTGGAAGGGTGGAGAGGTCCTAGCGGGAGAGAGGAAGCCTGCGTAAAGAATGCTTAACCCGGCCAGTCACGATGGCTTACACCTGTAATCTCAGCACTTTGGAACCCGAGGCAGTTGGATCACGAGGTCAGGGAGTTCCAGACCAACCTGACCAACATGGAGAAACCCTGTCTCTACTAAAACTATAAAAATTAGCCGGGCGTGGTGTTGAGCGCCTGTAATCCCAGCTACTCAGGAGGCTGAGGCAGGAGAATCTCTTGAACCCGGGAGACAGAGGTTGCAGTGAGCCGAGATGAGGCCACTGCTCTCCAGCTTGGGCGACAGAGCGAGACTCCAGCCCAACACCCACCGCCCCCCCCCAAAAAAAATGAAAAAAAAAAAAATGCTTAGCCCTTGGGAAAAGCTCTGCAAGGAGCAAGGCACCACCTGGCTCACTGAGTGGGAAAGCCAGGGAAGGTGCCACACCCTCACTCTCGGCCACCTGGTGCTGTGGCCCCTCCACGGGAAGTGAAGTTGACCAACTGCAGTGTCCCCCAGTGTCCACTGTGGGAGAGACAGGGTCCTACATTCACATTAGTATGGGTGACTTCACTTTCATTATTAGCGTTGAGACTGCTGGGTGTTTAGAGTGGAAAGTGAGGGTTGTGTTTTGGGGGAGAGGGAGGTCCAGCCATCCCAGGTTGGTGCTGGCCAGGTCTTGCCCCAGACCAGAAAGATAAAAGCCGAAGATGGGGTTGTAAAGAGACTTGCACTCCTGCAGACATGGGCACTGGCTTTTGGTGCTTCAGGCTAGTCTGGGATGGCCCCGGCTTGTCCATGCCTATGAGCAGTGCCTGAGTCTCAGGGTCTGTACTCAGACCTGGGTACTGGGTAGGAGAGCATCCAAATGAGGGAGGGGAAGAAAAGCAGACAGAAAAGAGGGAACAATTGTTAATGTGGGTGGGTACCCAGTAGGGGGACTTGCACCGACTGCCTCTCTCTTGTGCCCCTCCTTCTCAGGCCCAGTGCCCGAGCCATGGCACTGCCTCGGACGCTGGGGGAGCTGCAGCTGTACCGGGTCCTGCAGCGCGCCAACCTCCTTTCCTACTATGAGACCTTCATCCAGCAGGGAGGGGACGACGTGCAGCAGCTGTGTGAGGCGGGTGAGGAGGAGTTTCTGGAGATCATGGCACTTGTGGGCATGGCCACGAAGCCCCTCCATGTCCGACGCCTGCAGAAGGCACTAAGAGAGTGGGCCACCAATCCAGGGCTCTTCAGTCAACCAGTGCCTGCTGTTCCTGTGTCCAGCATCCCGCTCTTCAAGATCTCTGAGACTGCGGGTACCCGGAAAGGGAGCATGAGCAATGGGCATGGCAGCCCAGGGGAAAAGGCAGGCAGTGCCCGCAGTTTTAGTCCCAAGAGCCCCCTTGAACTTGGAGAGAAGCTATCACCACTGCCTGGGGGACCAGGGGCAGGGGACCCCCGGATCTGGCCAGGCCGGAGCACTCCAGAGTCGGACGTTGGGGCAGGAGGAGAAGAGGAGGCTGGCTCGCCCCCCTTCTCCCCCCCTGCAGGGGGAGGAGTCCCTGAGGGGACTGGGGCTGGGGGGCTGGCAGCAGGTGGGACTGGGGGTGGTCCAGACCGACTGGAGCCAGAGATGGTACGCATGGTGGTGGAAAGTGTGGAGAGGATCTTCCGGAGCTTCCCAAGAGGGGATGCTGGGGAGGTCACATCCCTGCTAAAGCTGAATAAGAAGCTGGCACGGAGCGTGGGGCACATCTTTGAGATGGATGATAATGACAGCCAGAAGGAAGAGGAGATCCGCAAATACAGCATCATCTATGGCCGTTTCGACTCTAAGCGGCGGGAGGGCAAGCAGCTCAGCCTGCATGAGGTAAGAACCCCCAGGCCTCCTAGGATTGCCCTTGACTCCTGGGCTCCTTACCTCTGCAAGTTTCTGAGGTCTCCAATTCTCTTTCATTACCCCTTGACCAGGACCCCAGGCCCTGACCCCCTCCCCCACAAGCCCCCACCCAGGGGCCGCAATGCTCCCATCCTCAGCTGAGGAGGACACAGAGGTACAGGCAGCACCCGGCTGTTGTCAGCTCCGTGTCACTCAGGACCCCACAGGAGTAGCGGAGGCCCCGGGCATTCCTAGGAAGCTGTGGGTGCTGACCTCTCTTCTTTCTTCAGAAAGCTCCTGTGTAGTGTCAAAACCAAAGCAAGCATCCGATGGATGGGCCTCATTTGTCCGATGGTGAAGGGGTGTGAGGAGGTCTGGTGAGGCAGTGGGGGAGTTCCAATTCTGACTCTCCTGGCTGCCTTCTCTCCACAGCTCACCATCAACGAAGCTGCTGCCCAGTTCTGCATGAGGGACAACACGCTCTTATTGCGGAGAGTGGAGCTCTTCTCTTTGTCCCGCCAAGTAGCCCGAGAGAGCACCTACTTGTCCTCCTTGAAAGGCTCCAGGTGAGACCCCCTTCCCCAGGTCCTTCCTGGACTGGAATCCCACCATGGAGTTAGATCATGTCCAGATCTTCAGCTCAGGCAGCTCTAGGCCTGCTTCCGCCCCACCTGCATGTCCTGCTTTTGGCTAAGTCAGCTTGTCTCAGGTCTGGTCTCTCCTTCCATCCATGTTGAGTCCCCCAGCCCCCTACAACAATATCGCCTGAGCTATACACTCCTTCTCTGCCAACTTATTGGTAAAGGTTTTCAATAACACATGCCTCTAGCCAGGTTCTGGGCTCTGCCCATCGCGTGGCCCTCCCCAGCCTCACCCCCTTTATTCTTATCCATCTTTTCAGGCTCCACCCTGAAGAACTGGGAGGCCCTCCACTGAAGAAGCTGAAACAAGAGGTGTGTTTTCTGGGTTGCATGTAGGGGCGTCAGGCAGCCTTCCTCAATCCCCTCCCTTGCCAGGTCTTCATTTCCCCATTTTGGGCATCCACAGGTTGGAGAACAGAGTCACTCTGAAATCCAGCAGCCGCCCCCAGGCCCTGAGTCCTATGCACCTTCATACCGCCCCAGCCTGGAGGAGGACAGCGCCAGCCTGTCTGGGGAGAGTCTGGATGGACACTTGCAGGGTGAGTGTGCCTCAGAACACTTTTCTCTTCACTGAGGGTAGGGGAGTGGGGGAGGGGGTGGGGGGGAGGAGTGAGCCAGGAGGCAATGCCTGGAACAGGGCTGGGAGGCCTGGCTGGAGGGGGGCAGAAGGGCCTGTGGGCTGGCTGTGTGGTTGAGGGTGGGGGTTCCATTGGCTGCAGCCCCTTACCTGACTAGTGCCCATGCCCACAGCTGTGGGGTCATGCCCAAGGCTGACGCCGCCCCCTGCTGACCTGCCTCTGGCATTGCCAGCCCATGGGCTATGGAGCCGCCACATCCTGCAGCAGACACTGATGGACGAGGGGCTGCGGCTCGCCCGCCTCGTCTCCCACGATCGCGTGGGCCGCCTCAGCCCCTGTGTGCCTGCGAAGCCACCTCTCGCAGGTGAGGCAGCCAGCAGTGCTGTCCCCAAGCACCCAGGCCCCACACAGCAATTCTGGTGTCCTGGGGCCAGGTGGGTGGAAGAGGTTTATAGTCGTCAGAGAGGGCAGTAAGAGGGCCGGGCTACAGCCAGCCAGGCCTTGGGGTGCGGAGAGGCAGACCCTGCTGGGCTGCTTCCACCACGGAAAGTCTGGTCCTAGTGGAGGTCTGTGAAAGGGGAACTGGGGAGCTGGGGACCGAGAAAAGAGGATGAAGGAGCAGGAAGGAGGAACATCAATAAGGGAAGCTCAAATGGCACTTCCACCAACCCAGGAGCCAGGAGCAGGCTAGGAGTTGCGGGGATGGGTTTGCCCAGCTTGGAAGCAGAGGAGCCCAAAGCGGGGATGCTTTGTGTGTGGAAGGGGGAAGAAGGAGTGGGCCGGCAGAGGGCCGGGCAGCCGCTGGGCTGAGAGTGACGCAGCAGACAAAGCCACCAACCCTGGCTTGGTATTTTTAAACTGTGCGTGGGTGGAAAGTGGGGGCGGGGACTGGAAGGGGGGCTCTTCTTGAGGGAGGAGCTGGGAGGCTGGTTTCCTGTGCTCCCCCGATTTGGCTACCAAAAAAACTTGGGGGGTCATGGTAGGCTGGGTGGGGACTGGGAGGGGGCCAGGGATGAGTGGGGGTGGCAGAGCTTGGGAAGTGGGGGAGGGGAGAGGTCAGAGCCAAACCACCCCCGCAGCTCCTGACAGAACCAGAAATTCCAGCACCACGGAGGAGGAGGCGGGGAGAGACAGAGAAAGAGAGAGACACAGACAGAGACAGCTACACACAGCCAGAGAGGGGAGGGGGCTCCCACACTCGGGAATGGAACCCACCGTACACATGCAGTGGGCAGGAGACAGTAATTCAATAAGCCAAGCCCATCTTCCCAGCTTTCTTTGCCCCTGCTTCTGTTCCCAACCACCTCTGTCTGCAGCCAGTCAGCCCGCAGTCTCCTAACTGCCCCCTTTTCCCTGCAGAGTTCGAGGAAGGGCTGCTGGACCGCTGTCCTGCCCCAGGACCCCATCCTGCGCTGGTGGAGGGTCGCAGGAGCAGCGTGAAAGTGGAGGCTGAGGCCAGCCGGCAGTGAGGGGTGCACTGGTGTTTTCAGACACAGGACCCCAGACTTCTGGCTCACGCAGACCCCACGCTCTCCATCCCCGGAATCTAGTCACAACCCTGGATCCTTCCGCTGCCCTTCTCCTGCCTCCCCACCTGCTCCATGGGCATAGACTGTGGGGCTTCAAGCAATAACAAGCAGGGGCCTGGAGAGAGGACACAAGGAGGGTGCGTGGTGCCCTCACCCCTGCCCAGAGCGAGGGGGCAAGGACTCTGCCTCCAGGGCCTCTGGGGTTCTCCCCTCCCTCATACAACACACTCCCATTCTCTTTAGGTTTGCACCAGTGGTGTGAGCAGTTGGACTCAGTTTGGACAAGGGGGAGAGGGGGACTTCCCTGGGAAGGTCCAGCAGCTAAAAGTGGCAACATTTGCCCCCAGAACTGGGGGCCTGGGAACACTGGACCTGCTCCTTCTCCCCTCTCCTTCCCCATTTTTGTGCTTCTGGTTTGTTTCTTTAATTTAACAAGTGCTGCAGTTTGCCCTCCCATTCCCATCTCTTCCCCCAAGTCCTTAGCAATTTCTTCCCTCCTGCCCTTTGTGGGGGCAGTGGGTGTGGGATCCCTTCACTGGCCCCCTCGGGAGGCCTGGGTTGGACTCAGGGTCTCCTCCAGCTGGGGGCTGGACCACAGCACCTATCTGAGCAGTTAGAGCGTCTTTCTTTTCAGATTGTGTACAGTAGATTATTTATTTTGTTATTTTGGAATAAAATTTATTTTATGGCTTAGGATCTATGACCCCTGCCTCAAGAGGGAGAAAGGGTGGCATGGGATGGGGGAGTGAAGGGAAGCTGGCAGTGGATAGGGCAACAGAAAAGATGCAGCAGGCAGGGCCCCTCATACACTGGAGGGCCGCGTGGCCAGGCCTGGACCCAGATGCTCACCCTGGCTCCCAGGCAGCATTGGAGGCGTGGAGCCATATGTAGATGTTACAGCCACTTGGACCTACTTGGGCAATCAGACTCTAAATTCAGAGTACTTTTGGGTTAGCATATGTCAGAGAGGGCAGCACACTTGGCGCTGTCTTCTGTGCAGTGTCTCACTTGCAGATTTGTGTTGTCACACAGGCAAAAGCAGATAGACACATATTCTATGTTTTCATGCAACTGATGTGCCAACCATACATTAACATAGGTACATACACGTTCACACAGCTATATATGAAGAAATTTGGCCCTTGTACTTCTGCATAGTCTCATACACATAACAGAAGCCTCCATCTGGCTGACAGGAATTTGGGGCTTTGGGAGATTTGTTTTTTAATCAGGACAAAACCTGTGTTGGTAACCACATGTCCAGACCCCTCCTGTACTCCCATCCAGGCTCCCCTGAGCCGTTTCCCATTGCCCCAGGGCTAAGACCCAGTATTCTCTATCCCTGCCCTCTAGTGTAAATACGTATGTTCCTGCCTATCCATCCTAGGCCCTGGCTTAGAGTGGGTGGAGAAGCTTTCCATGCCCTAACCTGTGCTCTTACCCAGCTCCCCTCCTCCTCAGCCCCATCACCCTCAGCTGTGTGTGTGTGTGTGCGCGTGTGTGTGTGCGCGCGCACTGTGGGTGCAGGCATGTTGGGGCATGTCTCATCTCAGAGCCTGAACTTCCCTTCCAGTCAGTGCTAGAAGGAGGTGGGCTGGGGAATGATAGGAAGGAAGGAGTGGATTGGCTCCACCCACCGTGCGTTCTCCTGGTAGTCTTTTCCTCCAGACCGCGAGTAGTAGGTGGAGATAGAAGGGCACCCTCCCCATCCGCTGCTTGGCAGGGCATGAGCAAGTGTCCAGAGCAGGTCTATGGGGACAGTAGAAGAGCTGTCTCTCTGGGCTCTCCCTCCAGCTGGGATCACCAACTGGGGTTGGCCCTTAAGTCCATGTGGGACATTGAGATCCCAGATTGCCCATAGTGGGAGGGCTGCAGGAGGGGCTGGGCCCCCATGGACCCTCCCCCTGACTCTCCCTGCCCCTCCAGGAGAAGCTTAGTGAGGTCCTGTTCAGTGGGAGGCAGCAGAGGAGGGAACATGTCTTCACCAATCCTGCAAGGAGACAGGAGAAGCAGTGGAGTAGGCATGGCGCCCACTCCCCTAGATGCCACCCAGCCTCCACCCCCAAGCTGCCACTTACCAAGTGCCCTGAGGAAACGGTCTCACTGGCTGGCTCAGGCAGCTGTCTTCCACCATGGGCACATCTGAGCAGAGCAAGGGCTCAGGGCTGGAGACAGCATGTTCCTGAGGTTGGCACGGCAGCAGGCCCCTGCCAGGAACCAGCAAAGGAAATCAGGAGGGTGGGGCAAGGCCAGGAAAGAAGAGGTGTATGGGGTCAGGAGGGGCTTTGTCACTCACTGGGGATGAGGCTGGTCAAAGGGCAGACTCATCTGACCCAGGCTTGGGGGCATCTGCAGTTGAGGCCTGGAAGTAGGGAGAGCACAGTCAGAGGAAGGCAGGCTAGGCAAAGGCAGAGTGGTGCGAAATCAGGACCTCTGAGTGAGGAAACAAGCTCCAGCTCCTTATCCTGACTTAGCAGTGACCCTGAGCAAACTATTTCTGTGCTCTGAGCTCAGTCTTATCTATAAAACGAGCATGTGTGAGGGGGGTGGATAAGCCAATTTCTAATGTTTCTTCGGACTCTGAACTTTGGTGGTTCTTAAGTCCCCAAGTTCTCACTCCCATCTCACCTGGGAGGGGAGATGTTGTGCCTTGACTAAGGGTTAATAAGCACCTGAGCGTCATACTTGGGGAATAAAAACATCTAGGCCATTTCCAGGCCGAAACACTTGAGTAAACAAAAATCAACACAGCAGAGAAGTGACAGTGGCTCTCGGGCAGGACAGAAAATAATAATGTCATTCACCACATTATGACATTTCTGTCAAATACAGACCACAGTGGTCTCATAAGATTATAATCAAGGGCCGGGCACCGTGGCTCAAGCCTGTAATCCCAGCACTTTGGGAGGCCGAGGCGGGTGGATCACGAGGTCGAGAGATCGAGACCATCCTGGTCAACATGGTGAAACCCCGTCTCTACTAAAAATACAAAAAATTAGCTGGGCATGGTGGCGCGTGCCTGTAATCCCAGCTACTCAGGAGGCTGAGACAGGAGAATTGCCTGAACCCAGGAGGCGGAGGTTGCGGTGAGCCGAGATCGCGCCATTGCACTCCAGCCTGGGTAACGAGCGAAATTCCGTCTCAAAAAAAAAAAAAAAAAAAAAAAAAGATTATAATCAAGGCCAGGAGAGTGACTCACGCCTGTAATCCCAGAACTTTGGGAGGCCAAGGTAGGAGGATCACCTGAGCCCAGGAGTTTGAGACCAGCTGAGGCAGTAAGTGAGACCTTGTCTGCAAAAAAAACCTTAAAAAAGAATTAGCCGAGTGTGGCGGTGCACAGCAGCAGAAGGACTGCTTAAGCCCAGGAGGTGGAGGTTGCAGGGAGCCGAGATCGCATCGCTGCACTCCAGCCTGGGTGACAGAGTAAGAGCCTGTCTCAAAAAAAAAAAAAAAATATATATATATATATATATATAAAATCAATCTGAAAATTCATATTATGCAAATATTTATCATTATGTTACTGTTTCCTTTTACTATTCAGAACAGTATCATGCTGTTCAGGTTCATAGCTAGCAGCAGTAAGCTATAGCATACGGCCTCCGTGTATAGTAGCCTATACCGTATAGGTTTGTGTAATTACACTCTATGATGTTTGCGTAACGATGAAACTGCCTAAGGACAGAAAGTGCTCCTTCGCTAAGCGATGCATGACTGGACTTACACAGCTTTTGCTATGAGCCAAGCACTCTGCTCAGCTTCACAAGTATTATGAACTCATTTAATGCAGTAGGGTAGGTTATTATTATTAGCATTATTATCCCCCATTATGCAGATGAGGCACCAAAGACTAAGTAATTTACCCCAAACCACTAAGTGGTGGAGCTAGAATTCAAACCTAGGCAGTTCGGATCTTAACTACTACCCCCTCATGAGAGTGGACAGAAGAGAAGAGGAAAGGCTGTTAGCATTTGCTGCTCCTTACTCACAAAGGAGCCTCTTCTAACAATTCCAACGCGCACCCCCTTGGAGTGGGATGGTATTGCCGTGAGGTTTTTCACTTACTCCTGGAAGGCTGACAACACATTGACCGATTCTTCTGGGGAGAGGCCTTGATATGAGGAGATGGAGTGAGAGTGTGGTGGGTACACCTGGGGCCTGGGGAAAGAAAACAGACCCCCTGATGCCAGCCCTTCTCCTGGACACCACCATGCCCTGCTTTGGGAACTGGTGTCCCTTTCATAGAAAGGAAAATTCCTTGTTCTGCCCCTGCCAGCTCTCCCATCTGCCCATGCTAAAAGCCCGTCTGCACAGACCACTCCCATTCCTGTCTTTCCAGCTCCTTACACCATCTCTGGGCCAAGCTGCATGCTCATGGAGGAATCAGAGGCCATTCCAAGTTCATAAGAGGGCACCATGGTAGGCATCTGGGGCTCTGGGGTAGGAAGTGGCTGGTCCCTGGAGGAGGGAAGGAGGTCCACGTGACTGACTGAGGGTTGATGCCACCCCTCCTTCCTGCCGATAAGCGCAAGGCTCCTGACCTACCCACTATCCACACCACCGCACTCACCTTTCCACAGTCATCTTGATAGTAGCTGGGACATAACCCCTGCCATCCTTACCCATCTGTTCAGCTGTTGCGAGAAGGAAAAGAGAGCCATGGAGTACCCTGGGGTGAGGGAGGAAGGGAGGTGGAAAAGGTAGGCATAGATGATGGGGAGGTAGGAGAAGCGCAGCTACATAATAGGGAGTGACATCAGGATGACACACGCAGGCAGGAAGAGGAGGGCAGCGGGGCTCAGGGAGAAGGTGGGTGACAGGAAGGAATCAGAGCCACCAGTTCCAGCTCACGCTTGTAGTGGCTCCGGAACGCCTCATCCTTGGGCTTCTTGGGATAGAGGTTCTTGAGCTGAGCAAGATCCCGGATTCGGTCCCCCAGTGAGCGAATGGACAGGTCTTTGGCAGAGAATGGCTGGATGTTCTCTATCTGTGGAGAGCCTATGGTAGGAATGAGATGCTGAGAACCCTCTGTTCAGACTTTCTTCCCCTTTCCAGCCTCCACCATAAGACCTGTCCTCACTCCACCAAGGCAAGGGAGAGAGGACCTAGGGTGGGGTTCCTGAGGGAGAGAGGTCCTCCAGTCCCCGTTCCCACAGAGCTCACAGTGAGAAGGTGAAAGTTGAGACCACAGAAGGAAGAAGAGAAGTTGGAAGAACTTCCTGAAGATCAAGATTGGCATCAGAAAGGTCTGGACATTTCATTCCCAGAAGAAACTCCAGCGGGCAAAAGCACAAAGACAGAGGACTGGCTAGGGTGACCTCACCATCCTGGCCCCGGATGACATGGGCAATGGTGATGCCCCCAATCTCTGAGTCACTGAAGCGGAGGAGAAAGGTTCCATCGGGCTCGTTGAGAAGAAGGCTAGTGACGTACTGTTTGCTGATGAAGCCAATGATCAGCCTGGCCGGGAGGAAGGAGAGGATGGGGCATGGGCAGTGGGTATGGAGGAGATTGGGTTTTGGCTGCTCAGACCACCCAGGGCAGGGACTCACTGGTCAGACCAGTAGCTCCGGAGACAGCGTTTGGTGAGATCCAGGACACCATCAAACCACTGCCAAAAGGTGAAGCCACGGCCCAGCAGGATCTCCTGGGGGACAGGAGACTGGTGTGAGCTGAGGGAAGGTCAGAGCTGGAGC